GTAACCTCAAAGTCCCTCTTTCCCTGTTTCATGTCTCCTAAATTTGACAGCCCAGTTCAGACTCAAATGGCTGTTGCAGTCCTTAACAGATCTCTCAATAATGAGTACCATGGTATTATGAGTAGCGAGGGAAGGCCTTCTTGGAGGCGGCGAGTGTTTGTCCAGACAGACACAGGCTGTGTCCTTGGAATTGAACTGGATCGTGGGGACAATGCCCATACAGTGAAGAGGAAACTGCAGGTGGCTCTTAATGTACCCACTGAAGAAAGTTCACTTACGTATGGTGATCGTGTGCTGAAGAATGACCTCAGTGATGTTCGAAATGATTCCCCCTTACTCTTGACCAGGAACCTTATTCATAGAAGTTCTTCCACCCCTTGTTTATCTCCAACTGGGAAGGATCTCCAGCATAGAGACAGGAGTGGCCCAATTGAAATATTAGGATGCCCAAGCCATTGCTCAGTAGCAAAGCAGCTTGTTAAGAGTGTTGTGAAGGCCATTAAAAGTGGTGTGGATCCTATACCTATTCGTAACGGGCTTGGGGGTGCTTATTATTTCAGGAACTGTAAGGGTGAGAGTGTTGCCATCGTAAAGCCAACTGATGAAGAGCCATTTGCACCAAATAACCCAAAGGGATTTATTGGGAAAGCTCTTGGTCAGCCAGGCCTGAAGAAGTCAGTCCGAGTTGGGGAGACCGGCTTCAGGGAAGTTGCTGCTTTCCTTCTTGACCACGATCACTTTGCAAATGTCCCTCCTACAGTTCTTGTTAAGATCACCCACTCAATGTTTAATGTGAATGAAGTTGTTAGTGGAAATAGCAGTAAGCCTCCAAATAATTATAAGCGAAACCCTATTAGCAAAATTGCTTCATTCCAGCAGTTCGTACCTCATGACTACGATGCCAGCGACCATGGTACCTCAAGTTTTCCCGTTTCTTCCGTGCACAGGGTTGGAATACTTGATATCAGGATTTTCAACACAGATAGGCATGCTGGGAATCTGCTGGTGAGAAAGCGCAAAAATGGATCTGGCAAGTTTGGTGGTGAAGTGGATCTTACTCCCATTGATCATGGTCTTTGCCTTCCGGAAACCTTGGATGATCCATACTTTGAGTGGATCCATTGGCCTCAGTCGTCAATCCCATTCTCCAATGAGGAGCTTGAATACATTGCCAACCTTGATCCAGTGAGAGATGCCGAGATGCTTAGAATGGAACTGCCAATGATCCGTGAAGCATGCCTTAGAGTTCTTGTCCTCTGTACCCACTTTCTCAAGGAAGCAGCAGCCTTTGGGCTTTGCCTGGCGGAAATTGGTGACATGATGAGTAGACAATTTACAGGGAGGGATGAAGAACCAAGTGAGCTCGAGGTTGTTTGCATCGAGGCAAGGAGTCTGATATCTGAAAGAGAAGTGTTCCTTCCTGAAACGGACATAGATGAAGAACAAATTCAGTTTGATATTGACTGTGAAGAGACTGAACCTATCATGTCCAAGCCGCCCAGTTTCTATTTTGGCTTTCGTGGGGGGAGTTCCAGGAACCCTCTTTCAAAGCTAGATGAGAGTTTGGAGGATGAAGAGGAAGAATATGAGGATAAAAACGACGATTGTGCATATAGTGCGAAGGGCATATTTCCTGTTAGCAGACGATCTTTTAATGCGTCAAAGCTGTCTTTTTCACTAAAAAGCATCAGTCTCACCGGCAAATCTCAGCGCCATCATGGTGGTTTCCTGAAGCGGGATAAGATCATTGGAAAAATTAACAATAGCGGCTGCGATGGGGGTCTTCAAGGATGGAGCAGGAGCGCAAACGAGCAGCTGACAGTTAGTGCAAGCTACGTGAATCTTGCAGACATGGGTGAGGAAGAGTGGGGAGCATTCCTTGAGAAGTTCCTGGAGCTACTGCCGGGCTCTTTCCGTGGCAGGAAGTGTAGGAGTGCTGATCAGAAGAAGAGGCTGGGTACTTCCTGCCAGTTTTGAGTAGGAGATAGAAGAGGAGCATGTGACATGAAGGAGCGGCTGCTTTCTTGTTTTCATTCGTTTTCCCAAGTAGTTCGTTGTTTGTTGTGTGCCCTTTGGTTGGTAGTAGGTGTAAGGAAATTGAAAATGGGGGTTTTTTCTGAAAATAAAGCCATTGCGATGGGATCTCTCTGGATGGTGTGCCTAATCTGGAGGGTTGAGATGATAGGCAAGATGGAGTTGACGTTACATCTGTATATATAATCTTATGCCCAAGTTTGAGAGCCGTTTTATCTTGAAGGTGACTGGTGGTGATGGCTTGCCTTTTGTTTTTGTTAATTTTATGTTTCCTCAGTATATTACATGCTATCAATGATCTTGGTACGCAGCTGTTGAGCCAGAAATCCAATATATTTGAGCATGTTGGCTTTATATATCCTGTCTAAACATTCAGTGCCAATGGTTTGAAGAACTCTGTCATGTATTAATAGCTTATATTCTTTTTTTTTTTATATATATAACATTTGCTCTCTTTCTGCTGCAGTATCACAATCTGCTTGACTGATTCACTAGAATGGCATGAAGTTTCCTCTGTGCTAATCAAAATTGTGCGTTATTTTGTTATGATGATATAAGTTCATGCTCTCTCATTTTACTAATTTTATAAATATCTCTTTGCTTGCTATATATTTTTTTATCTAGAGAAATTTGTTTTTGATTTCCAGATGATAGGGATTGCGGGCCTCTTTTAGCATTCATTGAATTTCAGAAGATAATTCAATGGCCTGTGGTAGACCTGTTTATTGGGGTAGAAAAATGCATCGATTGGATAGTATATAAAAAGGTAAAATCAAAGGATTAGAAAGCAACAAGCAATATAAGAAAATGACAAGGTCAAATTTGTAACAAGGGTAAATATAAACGAAATTTGTTGGAGATAAGCTAGTTTTATTGAAAAAATTGTCATTTTTTACCATAAAACGCAACACAATTCTAATGTATTGACATATCAAACATTTAAAGTTTGATGTATTAAAAAGAAGTCCTAATTTAAACTTTTGTAGTTTAAATTTTCAATATATTGGTTACGGCATGTAGACCAAGCGCATGTTGGCTTTAAATATCCTGTCTAAACATTCAGTGCCAATGGTTTGAAGAACTCTTTGTCATGTATTAATAGCTTATATTCTTTTTATATATATATATATATATATAACATTTGCTCTCTTTCTGCTGCAGTATCACAATCTGCTTGACTGATTCAGTCTAAACATTCAGTGCCAATGGTTTGAAGAACTCTGTCATGTATTAATAGCTTATATTCTTTTTTTTTTTATATATATAACATTTGCTCTCTTTCTGCTGCAGTATCACAATCTGCTTGACTGAGGTAAATACTGTAGAGTTTATGTTTTGGATTCGCTAGAATGGCATGAAGTTTCCTCTGTGCTAATCAAAATTGTGCGTTATTTTGTTATGATGATATAAGTTCATGCTCTCTCATTTTACTTATTTTATAAATATCTCTTTGCTTGCTATATATTTTTTTATCTAGAGAAATTTGTTTTTGATTTCCAGATGATAGGGATTGCGGGCCTCTTTTAGCATTCATTGAATTTCAGAAGATAATTCAATGGCCTGTGGTAGACCTGTTTATTGGGGTAGAAAAATGCATCCGATTGGATAGTATATAAAAAGGTAAAATCAAAGGATTAGAAAGCAACAAGCAATATAAGAAAATGACAAGGTCAAATTTGTAACAAGGGTAAATATAAACGAAATATGTTGGAGATAAGCTAGTTTTATTGAAAAAATTGTCATTTTTTACCATAAAACGCAACACAATTCTAATGTATTGACATATCAAACATTTAAAGTTTGATGTATTAAAAAGAAGTCCTAATTTAAACTTTTGTAGTTTAAATTTTCAATATATTGGTTACGGCATGTAGACCAAGCAATATAAATATCGTGAATGTTAATTTTGTAAATTTGTTCGTTTCAGATGTTATACTTTTTTGTTACTCTTAAAAAAAATATATATATATATATATATCATGATGCTACCTAAAAGTGACATGCCAGCATTAAATTAATGCGACTTGCTACTAATAAATTCCTCTTTGATAAGTTGTCTAATCAGCGGAATGGACGAGACGGATTTTTAAAGCAAGAGCAGTAGCTGGATGACGATACACGATTTGAACACAGCTGTTAGTCTTATATATATATATATCTATACATACAGAAAAATTTCTGAGAAGACTTACGACTGTTAGAGAAACTGCTCATATTATATATTGAAAGAGCCATCTTTTGCTGAGTTGATGACGTGGACAGGAGAAGAAATGGGCAGATATAATGTAAAATATGCACATATGTTTGAGTTGTAGGTGCGCAGAAGCGGGGAATGAATGATTATGATGATGAATGAATGTGGGGGAGGTTTTGTATATTGTTAATGGCGAGAGTTGAATTGCGCACCCGGTTTCGGACCGAATATCGGGTACCGGAGCTGCTCCGTGGTCCCGTACGAAAGGGACCACGTGGGTTGTCGGATAGCAAAGACATTTCCGTTTCAGCTGACGCCGTTCGCCCACATTTCATCTATTATACCAAGTGGGCCCCTGTTATTTTATAGTATTATGTTGGCGTCTTCTCTCACTTTTGGGCAATTAAATTCAGCTTATTGTTTTGTAGTTATATATATAATTGAATTCAGAACTGTCCATAGATCACACCCCATATGAATGATTTTGTATGTTGTTAATGCTTCACTTGTCAAATTTTTACATCTTCTCTTTTCAAGTTGGTCATTTAGTTGTTATGGCGAGATATATCTTCATTTTCTTTTGGCCTGTCTTTCTCGGTTTAGTTGGTGAACATGTCATCATACTGTTAATTTTTTATTGACTCGTTCCATCGTTCAGGTTTGGCCTTTTGACACGTGACTTTTTTAGATCGTTTTATTTAAGTTGGTGTATTTTGATCGCACATACTTTAGTTCCCTGATTTTGTTGTACATTAGTAGGCTGCAAGCTGAAATGAGAGCTAAAGAATTAAACTCAAAGTTGGTTGGATTCCTATTTTATAAATAGATGGTAGGGTTTTTCCAATTTTGCTTGATCCTCCCTTAATCAACATTCATTGCTTGTTTGAGAGTTTCTTATGATTGACAATTTTCCTGAATCTTGGGATCCCATCCCAAGAAATGTTTTGCTTCATGGACTATTTAATGAGAAGAAAAGCAAGAGGCAAGCTGGTTGTGAGAAGAAGAGGGGCTCACACTCGAGTCATATTGGCTCTTCTAGAGTAGTTCTAGGGGCGTTTTACTTGCGACCATAGACATCCCTTGGATGGTCTCCATCAATCGATCATCTAATAAAGTATGCATGCACCTCCCCTCAAATCCCCTAGTTTTTTATGAGTTTGATGATCGGTTGTCATTGTGATAGCTCATCCACAAGAGCGGTGCTAATTGAAATGATTGAAGATATGCATATGTCATAATGTTTGATTGAGATAATTTGTGGTTGCTTATCAACATATAGTCTTATCGTTTATAGGTGACTGATGATGAGATCCATCTGGGTGTGAAGGAAGCTTTAATAGGATTATTTGAGGTTGAAGGGCAAATGGTGGAAGAAGACAGTCGACCCACCTGAGGAGGCTCACCCTCAGGTCACATTGGTATTTTCAAAGTAATTATTGGTTTATATGGGTCTAGAAGGGAGCATAATTAGGCTTACTAGATTTTCATGATTTTCTTATTATTGAGTAATTTCTTGATGCAACTTGTTGGATGATTAAAATGAATGAGAAAGTTATGAGTATAATACCAATTAATTTGTAATATTAAGTAAAGAGTATACTAAAGATAAAATTATAATCATAATTTAAAGATGTAAAGACATTAAACCATATGAAAAAAAGTAATATCTTTTAATGATTCAGTTGCAGTTCACATCCATGCATTAAGTATTCACCATCCTTAGATTTCTCTTACATCCTACAATTAAAGAAAACTATTAGAAGAAGCATTTTTACCATTCTTTACTTCAAGATAACTAAGACAATTATTCAATTTCCTTCTTAGCAAATGTAGGTTTTTTGCTATATTCTCTATTAGAACATTATAACAAGCACGTATGATAAAATATAATTAAAAGAATACGATGAAGAGAAATAGGTTTTTATACATGAATAATACTTTGAAGAAAAAAACATGATTATCATACAAAATACTATCCTAATTGAACAAGCAAAAGTCTCATCCTTTAGATCTTAAGTTTGCATAGAAATTTTTAAGGAAAATACTTTATAGCTACTAATAGAGAAGAGAGATCTAATGTTTCAAAAATATATAAGTTATTCAACTTACTTAACCTTAGTCTTTAACATAGCATATATCTATTAGTTGGGTTTAAAATATATTTCCTCATATCTTTCCAACAAGTAATCATTCAAAATATCCTTAATTTTTGGAGTTCATTAAAGTTCAAATAACTAAATTTCATCATCAAAAGTTTCTAGATTTTAACAATTAATAATACCAACAAAATTTTAGAAAGGCTTATGGAGTTCTTTTTCGAGGTATCTTATAATTTCTTTCAAGATATAAAGTTTGGTTTTTGTATGGAATCTCAAAATATTTTACAAAGGCCCACAAATACTTTATGGATCTCCTAAAATTATATGAGGCTAATTTTACCTATTTTATTTCTTTTTTTTTTTTATTTTCTTCCATTAAATTAAAATTGCTTTAATTAAATTTTTATTTAGTTGTTTATTTAAGGTTCTAAATACTTTTTAAAAATATTTATCTTACTTGAAATTTTTTAACATTATGATTAAGTTGATATAAGAAATTTCTTTCACTAAAGATGAGTGAAAATGCACTTGTTTGTCTGCTCATAATACCTTTAATATTTTACGTTATGACTTTTACACATGAGATGCACAAACTATTTTTCTATTTTATGTCATGACTCTTCTTATTATTATTTCTAATGGTGTTGATGCTATCTACAATTATTTTATTCAAGAAATCATTATTCCTTATTTTTTAAGTGTAATTTTTTATCTTCAAAATTTATAAAATCCTATAGGCTAATGTGTCTAATAGATTGTGAGGGTGACATATTTGTCAAGGATATGTATGATCAGGACTATTTAGCATTTAAATATATTATCTTGATGCAATTAATGTAATTAATTATCATATATAATTTTGAAATTAATATTTTGTTGTCATGTTTTTAATCATATATAAATGGAGTTAATATTTTCATTTTAGAATACATCTATGTAGTAATCACATAAAATAGTATTATTGTAAGTTATCATATCACAACTCATGATATCTATCCAAATATGACTTGAAATAAACAAAATCTCTGAGACATACAATCAAGTTAAATATTTAGTCTTAAGTATTTTAAACAAGAAAAAATGTATGAATAATGAACATGTTTAATGCTTTTCTTTGATGGAAATTGAGAGTAGTAAGAGATTTCACTTTTTTCTTATATTGGTGGAAGAAATTGCCTTATATATAGAACTTCTAAAGTAAGCTAAATTAGATAATGTTAAGCAAAAAGATTTTGAGCATTAGATATTTATAACTAATAAGATGTATTTTTATTCTACAATTGGGCATTTATGCAATCAATTTAATAAAAAAAAATGTCAAAATAGTATTCATATGTTTGAGTTATTGCAATGATGTGCTTTCACACATTCTTTATGCATGTGGAAGAAGAGGCAACACATTTTGTTGATTACAATGTTGAACGCGTGCATCAACTCTAGCCATGCATGCAAGTAATGTTGACAGTGCAGCTCATGAGCACAAGGCATATCAAAATTTGTTTTAGAGAACACATATTCATCACTTAGTATGAAATTAAGAAATATTATGCATAATTTATTTTGATGTCCTTGAACAAAGCTGCATAATTTTTTAATGATATATACATGCAACTAGCTCAACATTATAGAATGTCTTAGAGGTTGTTTGGGATCACTTTTGATTTTGATTTATATTTTTAATATTTTATATTTTTATTTAAAAGAAAACAAGTTTAGCTTTGTATAACATGCTTATTGATTTTTAAAAATACTTAAAATAATTTTTAGATGTCTTGAGTGTTCTTAAAACTAAATTAATTTATTTTTAATAACTAAAAATAGAAGCATGCCAAAATACACTAAACAAACATGTTTTTAATATATATATATGTATATGTGATCCCAAAGTAGCCCATAGTAACTCTACTTCATGCATTGTAATAAATTGCATGAACCAAACCAATATGGAATATGACTCATGTAGTCCATAAATATTATTACATGACAACACACTTCACACATTTCATAACATATACAAATCGATTCAAAAACATAGATAATTAAGAAAAGAAATAGAAGAGCATTCCTTGAGAAGTTTTGATGAGAAGAAAACTTCATTGTGATAGCTCATGGACTATTTGATGAGAAGAAAAGCAAGAGGCAAGCTGGTTGTGAGAAGAAGAGGGGCTCACACTCGAGTCATATTGGCTCTTCTAGAGTAGTTCTAGGGGCGTTTTACTTGTGACCTTAGACATCGCTTGGATGGTCTCCATCAATCGATCATCTAATAAAATATGCATGCACCTCCCGTCAAATCCCCTAGTTTTTTATGAGTTTGATGATCGGTTGTCATTGTGATAGCTCATCCATAAGAGCGGTGCTAATTGAAATGATTGAAGATATGCATATGTCATAATGTTTGATTGAGATAATTTGTGGTTGCTTATCAACATATAGTCTTATCGTTTATAGGTGACTGATGATGAGATCCATCTGGGTGTGAAGGAAGCTTTAATAGGATTATTTGAGGTTGAAGGGCAAATGGTGGAAGAAGACAGTCGACCCACCTGAGGAGGCTCACCCTCAGGTCACATTGGTATTTTCAAAGTAATTATTGGTTTATATGGGTCTAGAAGGGAGCATAATTAGGCTTACTAGATTTTCATGATTTTCTTATTATTGAGTAATTTCTTGATGCAACTTGTTGGATGATTAAAATGAATGAGAAAGTTATGAGTATAATACCAATTAATTTGTAATATTAAGTAAAGAGTATACTAAAGATAAAATTATAATCATAATTTAAAGATGTAAAGACATTAAACCATATGAAAAAAAGTAATATCTTTTAATGATTCAGTTGCAGTTCACATCCATGCATTAAGTATTCACCATCCTTAGATTTCTCTTACATCCTACAATTAAAGAAAACTATTAGAAGAAGCATTTTTACCATTCTTTACTTCAAGATAACTAAGACAATTATTCAATTTCCTTCTTAGCAAATGTAGGTTTTTTGCTATATTCTCTATTAGAACATTATAACAAGCACGTATGATAAAATATAATTAAAAGAATACGATGAAGAGAAATAGGTTTTTATACATGAATAATACTTTGAAGAAAAAAACATGATTATCGTACAAAATACTATCCTAATTGAACAAGAAAAAGTCTCATCCTTTAGATCTTAAGTTTGCATAGAAATTTTTAAGGAAAATACTTTATAGCTACTAATAGAGAAGAGAGATCTAATGTTTCAAAAATATATAAGTTATTCAACTTACTTAACCTTAGTCTTTAACATAGCATATATCTATTAGTTGGGTTTAAAATATATTTCCTCATATCTTTCCAACAAGTAATCATTCAAAATATCCTTAATTTTTGGAGTTAATTAAAGTTCAAATAACTAAATTTCATCATTAAGAGTTTCTAGATTTTAACAATTAATAATACCAACAAAATTTTAGAAAGGCTTATGGAGTTCTTTTTCGAGGTATCTTATAATTTCTTTCAAGATATAAAGTTTGGTTTTTGTATGGAATCTCAAAATATTTTACAAAGGCCCACAAATACTTTATGGATCTCCTAAAATTATATGAGGCTAATTTTACCTATTTTATTTCATTTTTTTTTATTTTCTTCCATTAAATTAAAATTGCTTTAATTAAATTTTTATTTAGTTGTTTATTTAAGGTTCTAAATACTTTTTAAAAAGATTTATCTTACTTGAAATTTTTTAACATTATGATTAAGTTGATATAAGAAATTTCTTTCACTAAAGATGAGTGAAAATGCACTTGTTTGTCTGCTCATAATACCTTTAATATTTTACGTTATGACTTTTACACATGAGATGCACAAACTATTTTTCTATTTTATGTCATGACTCTTCTTATTATTATTTCTAATGGTGTTGATGCTATCTACAATTATTTTATTCAAGAAATCATTATTCCTTATTTTTTAAGTGTAATTTTTTATCTTCAAAATTTATAAAATCCTATAGGCTAATGTGTCTAATAGATTGTGAGGGTGACATATTTGTCAAGGATATGTATGATCAGGACTATTTAGCATTTAAATATATTATCTTGATGCAATTAATGTAATTAATTATCATATATAATTTTGAAATTAATATTTTGTTGTCATGTTTTTAATCATATATAAATGGAGTTAATATTTTCATTTTAGAATACATCTATGTAGTAATCACATAAAATAGTATTATTGTAAGTTATCATATCACAACTCATGATATCTAGCCAAATATGACTTGAAATAAACAAAATCTCTTAGACATACAATCAAGTTAAATCTTTAGTCTTAAGTATTTTAAACAAGAAAAAAGGTATGAATAATGAACATGTTTGATACTTTCCTTTGATGGAAATTGAGAGTAGTAAGAGATTTCACTTTTTTCTTATATTGGTGGAAGAAATTGCCTTATATATAGAACTTCTAAAGTAAGCTAAATTAGATAATGTTAAGCAAAAAGATTTTGAGCATTAGATATTTATAACTAATAAGATGTATTTTTATTCTACAATTGGGCATTTATGCAATCAATTTAATAAAAAAAAATGTCAAAATAGTATTCATATGTTTGAGTTATTGCAATGATGTGCTTTCACACATTCTTTATGCATGTGGAAGAAGAGGCAACACATTTTGTTGATTACAATGTTGAACGCGTGCATCAACTCTAGCCATGCATGCAAGTAATGTTGACAGTGCAGCTCATGAGCACAAGGCATATCAAAATTTGTTTTAGAGAACACATATTCATCACTTAGTATGAAATTAAGAAATATTATGCATAATTTATTTTGATGTCCTTGAACAAAGCTGCATAATTTTTTAATGATATATACATGCAACTAGCTCAACATTATAGAATGTCTTAGAGGTTGTTTGGGATCACTTTTGATTTTGATTTATATTTTTAATATTTTATATTTTTATTTAAAAGAAAACAAGTTTAGCTTTGTATAACATGCTTATTGATTTTTAAAAATACTTAAAATAATTTTTAGATGTCTTGAGTGTTCTTAAAACTAAATTAATTTATTTTTAATAACTAAAAATAGAAGCATGCCAAAATACACTAAACAAACATGTTTTTAATATATATATATGTATATGTGATCCCAAAGTAGCCCATAGTAACTCTACTTCATGCATTGTAATAAATTGCATGAACCAAACCAATATGGAATATGACTCATGTAGTCCATAAATATTATTACATGACAACACACTTCACACATTTCATAACATATACAAATCGATTCAAAAACATAGATAATTAAGAAAAGAAATAGAAAATCATAATGAATAACTAGGCAGTCATATTTGTCAGTCCCCATGCTCTCTCAGCCATCCTCACACATTCTCCAAATCTAAAGCAGTCAACAATGTGGTCAACTGACATTCCTGCAGCCTGCATGAAGGAATAAACGATTACAGGACCAACCAACCGAAATCCTCTCCTCACCAAATCTTTGCTTATTGCTTCTGCCTTTGGAGTCCTGAGAGGAATACTTTTTGGGTATTTGTATTTATTAACCATTGGTTTGTGATTCACTTGACCCCACATGTATCCACCAAATGATCCAAACTCCTTCGCAACCTAAATATACATTAGATACATCAAACCATAGCATAATAATTTTTTTATTTAATTTATTGAAGTTGCATTTTTGCTTTCTGTTTATGGTTTTCTTGAATTGGTTAAATAACTATGCTTTGTGTGTGAGTAGAAAGAAAATTTTGAAGTTATGATAACATAGTTCAAAATTTTTCCGTGTACCCCGACCTGTTGGTTGACATCCACAGTATAAGGACTCTCAGGTTGTGGGTTCGAGTCTCCTTTGGCATGGTTGGCCTTAAGGAGGTGGCATTTGAATTGTTAGGCAGATTAGGAGTGGTTGGATACTCGTATAATAGTCTCTGGGATTTGTTGACATCACACGCTCATAGGCAAATAATAGAAAAAAGGGATGGAAATAGGAAAATGATTTTAAGAACAAGGTACTGAAGAAAAGCATAAATAATGCAAAAGAACATTTGGCATTATAGGAATACTATACAAAATTCAATGAATAATCAAAATTAGTCCAAGCATCTGTATACCTTCTGTATACACTTCGCATTGTCAATTATGCACCTAACTCTGTTCTCAGCTAAGTTGAGTGCCTTGTTTGAACCAATGACCATTACATCATTTTCCTCCATTTTTGCAACAACATTATAATCAAATTTTGCAAATGCATCCCTATACCAAATGAAAAAAATAATAATAATGAGAAGGCTTTAAAATAAATACATTAATATAATTAACAAACCAGTAAAATGATTTATTTAATTTTGTTAAATTTATGATGAATGAAATGTCAAAAGAAGCATGGATCTTACAACCTATATAGCTCCCTTCTCTTCAGTATTTCCGTCCAGTTGTGATCAATGAGCATTCCACATAGCGCTAGCAACTCAAAAAGCCGGCTGAAACCAACATGTTCAATAAATTATAGTGCTCTTTATCTCTCACTTTGTCTCATATATATATATATATATATATATATGATGACATCCTAAAAATGAAAAATATGGAATGAAGCTTTATCTTTATCTTTGATGTTTGAGTGAGAGTTTGAGAAATGGCTAAAAGAGAGTGATTGATTTGTTGCTATCAATGTTTCGGGTGCCCTATATGTAGAATGTTAAAAATGAAAAATATGAAATGGGGTTTTATCTTTACATTTGATATTTGAGTGAGAATTTGAGAAATGTCTAAAAGAGGGTGCTTGATGTTGTTAGCAATGTTTTTGGTGCCCTGTATGTAGCGGGTGTAAATGAGCCGAGCACGAGCGAGCACAGGCTCCGCTCATGTTCGGCTCGTTTATATTTCGAGCTCAAAAAGTGTGTTCATGTTCGTCTCGTTTGTTTAATGAGCCGAACACAAGTCGTTCACGAACAAAGAGTCGTCTTGATAACCCTAATTGCGTAGTCATAAAATATTAAAGATCGGGGCAAGATTTAAAAATTTTTGTTTATATTAAAACATCATATAAATTTAATTTAATAATTTTTATTCTATTTTCTTAATTAATACTTTTAATTGATTATAAATCTTTGTAGCCTTGTAGTCAATTAATTTTTTTTAAAATACCACTCATCAAATATATGTATATATATATATATATATATATATATGTCGTC